TAAATAAAATATATAAAATAAATAAAATATAATAAATATATAAGATAAATAAGATAAAATAAATAAAAGAAATATATGCTATAGATGACATAGATGACATAGAAGACATATATGATTTCTTAGGGATTGATGTTATTCTTTAGATCATCATCATCCATGTTTTCTTTCGTGTAATAATATAAATAACAAAATATTTTATCTAAAAGTAATCAATTATTGTTCCTTCATATTTTTGATAAACTTATTCTTTTTTTCTAACTTAACATCTTTTTTTAATTAATAGCATACAATTTTTTTTTCTTTTTAAACCCTTTATCAGCACTTATAAAAGGTAAATTTTCTTAAAACATAATTATCTACATCATATGTATCTGATAAAGATCATACATACTATCATAAAAAAAAGAAAAAATCACAAATACAAGAAAGTAATGATAATTTAAGAAATATTATAAAAATTGCATTTTCAATAAATAAATTAATAATTAGTTATTAAACTATATTAAATAATATTTATCTAATAATAATTTACAATTTAACATAATAACAAAATAAATAGTTAGTAACTAATTATACTAGTAAAAATTATCAAACAGTAATGATCAATAAAACAAATATATTTTTACATATTAAATATAATTAATTTATTTAATAAATCAAAAATATTATATATTTTTATACAATCATATAGTCATATTAGAAATATTAAATTTATCAGATTATCAATTTGTAAATTATCTGTATTACCTATATAATATTGAATTATTTAATCAATTAATAAATTTTTTTTCTTTTAATATTAAAAAAAAATATAAAACTATATTAAATTAATAATAATATAATAAAATTTTATATTAATAACTTGTAACTTTATAATATTATATAGAAAAATAACATAAATAATTATTATAAAAATTATAAAATATACTATATTACAAATATAAAAAATTATAAAGCTAAAAATAAAATAAAATATAACTTATTTTTAGCTTTATATAGTTAAATCAAAAAAATATATCATAAAAACTTATAAATTATTAATAAATCTTAGAAAATGAATTATTTATTTTTATTTTAAATAATAGTTTAATTTTTTTAAGTTCTTTACCTTTATATATAATATATACTTACTTAATATTTTTTAATAAATATTAATAAACCTCTATATTATTTTTTAATTTAAACTATTAGTTATAATTATAATGGATTATTATTAACACTTTTTTATTTATTATAATAAAATTAAATTAGTTTTTATAAATTTGATTTAATAAATTAATAATATTAAAATAAGATAACTCTTATATTAATTCTTATTTTTTACATATATTTAATTTATTCTATTTATTTCTTTTAGATTTAATTATCTATATATTAAGAGAATTTATTACCTTTAATATTTTTAAATATATTTATATATCTTATTATGCATATTTTATTATAAATCTTATTAAATAAGAATTATTTTATCTTTTATTTGAATAATTTATAAAAATATACTAAATTAATAAATAATATTTTAGATATATATAAAGAATATTAACACAGTTTCTTATTTTTTATTAGTTTTTTTATATATAATAAAATTAATATTTAAGTTATTTAAAAATGCATTAAATTTTAACATAAATTCTTTATATAATAAATGCATTGAAATCCTGGTATTTATATAAAAAAAATATGTTTATTGGCCTGAATTTTTGAAATGATATAATTTAACTAATTTATTTTTATTCAAAATAAATAAGAATTAAAAGCTATTTTATTTTTATTTCTTTTTATGCTAAAGAATTCTTAATTTTTTTGACAATTTAAAAAACTTATTTTTCCATTTTGTTGAATTACAACTTTAATATCTGGTTTCTTATATTTAGTCATATAGAAATTTAGCACAATTTCAATTTCATTCATACGAATTTTATGCAATAGCATTTGAAGTAGCTTATGAAAAATTTACTATATATATTCTTAAACATCTAACTTAACCACTTTTTAGTTTTTAATTCGAAATATATGCATATTGGAAATAAAATAAATTGAAGATCCATCAGATGAATTATTACAAGAGTAGTAGGATGAATCTTTTGGATGAAATTTAAAAGTGATCGTCAGAATTTATTTAATAGAATTAAAACAGAACAATGGTAATAATTTTAGACGAATCGGATTCGTGTAACCTAGAATTTTGATTATCATATGATTATCTTTCTACATTCATGAAAAACTCTTGTTCGTTTAGATACAGATAGTCGTGAATAGAGAGATCTTAATATATTCTAAAAATATGAAGTGATCGAAAAATTAACTTTTTACAAAAAAATTAAAAAGTTATGTCATCTACAGTTGCAAAAGGAAAAGAACTCGAGCAAAGGATCTTTGATATATTGAGGAGCATAGAAATTGAGTGCAAGTGGACAGGGTGAGAATCTCACTGAGTTATTTGTAGAATCGTTGTGTATCTGAAGTTACGCTGCCACTAGGTATAAAATGTCTGGGAATTGAAAGCTCATCGTGGCCACGGTTTCGGCCGTGAACGTTCTTCCCAGTTTCCGAAGTCCTGCACTGCCGTAAGGCACTTGCTACGTACGCTGGGGATTGGTGGTGAATAGGATACACGAATCAATGAATAGAAAGCACCTCGTGGCCACAGTCAAAAGCGACTGTGAACGTTCTTCTTTGGTTCTTAACGATGATGACACATGTACTCACTTTTTTACCAATGTCTTTATAGTGGTTCGGGTGACGGAGGAGTGGATATCAGCGGTGTTGTTGTTGGGATCCCGTTCGTGATTCAGTGTAAAAATTGGACAAAACATAAAATTGGTATGCTTCAATAAAATATGGTATTGAAAATAAGCTAATTGATGTTCGATTACAGGTCCCTCCGTCATTCGTGAATTCGAAGGAGCACTTACTAGACAAACAAGGGGTACAATAGGTGTTGTAGTAGGACGTTCAAAAAATAGATTCACGCCTGGTGCGATAGTGACAGCTAAAACATCGATTTACGATATTATCCTCACGGATAAGAAAGACCTTTGTATAGATCTCATTCAGTTAGTTGCTGATCGACTGAACAGATCTTATGGTTTCCATTATAAATATTCTTTTATTGTTTTCTTGTTAACTTTCTTACCTTTTTACTTGTATAAATTTGTAAGTTAAGATTTTTTGTATATATTTTATTTCTTGTACATTAATTTACTTTGTAATTTCATTTTTTTTATTTATTTATATTTTAATGTTAATATTTTTTTATTTTTCCTTCCATTATTTGTATTCTGATATATATTTATTTCTTGTAAGTACATATTTGATCATATCCGTATCATATTGGCGTCCTAATTCTAATCAATAAAACATTCTTATTCACTAGTACAAAAAAATTGTATGGTGGGTTTTTGTTAATCGATTTTGCTTTCAGCTAGGGATTCCTGATGTTCTTGATAATATTACTATACAAGATGGATTCTCGATCTTTATTACCATTCAGCATATTACGTAATAATGAATTTTTTTTTCCGAATCGATTATTAGGCTTTAGATTATGTCGCAAAAGATATAAAATAAGGTGAGTTAGGTTATCGTATGAGTTTTTTTTTATTCACATTGCCCAAATAAAACGAAAATTCATAACGAATCAAATAAATCAAAATTATTATTTGTTAAACGTGTGGGATGTTGGATTATTGAATTTAGATTTTAATGCTAATCCTCCGTTTCCATCACCGATGAATGCGCAATACTCAGAAAATTGCTTTCCGAGTTCGGTTCCCGCACCATAGCTATAGCGAAGATACGTACTAGGAGGCGTTTGCTAATCCAGATTTCCGTGATGAGAATCGAATCTTTGATTAAGGACGACAATTTGAATCTTGTGAGCGTTGAATGTGTGTTATGAGGCATATTATTTGATGACTTTTTGATTTCATTACATAAATGCTAATCGAACTTGCATTTGGTGGATTCCATTTCATTTTATAAGGAGCAGAAGTCCACAAAGTTTGATCTAAAGTTATGACGTCATTTTATCCCATCGCATAGTAAAGATTTATTTTCCTGTAAATACTGATTTTCGTGATGTGATCATTTCTTGTTAGTTTCGTCTGTATGTTTATATCGATACAAAACGTATAAAAGGTATTCATACGAAAAATAGAACGAAACAAAAACAATAAATTTTATATTGATCTTTATTAACTTCATCAATCAATCGAACAAAACAATAAAAATATGCTAGTATATCTCCCTTTATTAGTATTTTGTACATCACGTGATTTAAGGTGGCCCCGGCATTATCTGTAACAAATAAGTTTTACTAACTTATGATCATTTTTTCTAGTTATTCAACTTTACATAACAAAAAAAAATAAATTAATTAGTTTTATATATTATATATATTATAAATTAATATAAACTAATTCTTAACATATAAATGAAAAATTATAAAGATAAATCTTATTATTTAATTTATTAAAATGATTTAAGTTTAAATTTATTATATTTAAAAAGATAAAAATATTTAAATTTAAAAAATAAGTAAAAATATGTAAATATCAAATTTGGTAACAAATAAAATTTTAAAAAAATGGTAATTTTTTATTTTATGTAAATTAATCTTTTTTATGTTAATAGTAATATTATTAAATTTAAAAATTAATAAATTATAATTTAATTTATAAATGATTAGTTTAATTAAAAATATTAATTTTAATAAAAAGTATGCTATTAATAATTTATTAAAAAATAGTTAATGAATATTATTATTAAAATTTAAATTGTAAATAATACTTATTAATGATTTATTAGTAGTTTTAAAAGATAATAAAAAAATAATGTTTAAATCAAATTTTTAATGATGTTTTTATAATAATAAGATCTTATCTGAATTCTTTTTTTTAAATTTGATAAATATTAAAAAGTATACATTTTATAATTTAAGTAAACTTTTATTTTTGTAAGATTGAAAATTTATTGATGAAACTTAACATCTCTTATCCTATGTAAAGTAAATTTATATTTATCATTTCATAAATATATATATATATATATATTTGATCGGTCGCCCGAACATCCCGACTGAGGCGCGTATATCACTTCATAAATATATCAACTACGATCTGAAAGAATCAAACCAATTTTTGAAACTTACATAAATGGTAGCATCTAATCTAATTGTGGTTAAAAGCTATTTTAAATAAATCACGAGATATAGTTAAAACCGCCCATATAGTTCAATTGATTGATTTACTATTATGAATACCTTTAAATTCGGATTACAAATTTGTAAGCTTACATTTATATTATTATTTTTTTTTTTTCATCTCAATCTTTAAAATAATCATAACGTGACAAATTAAAAAATCTTTTTTTTTTCTGGGACTGAGTTACACAACACGTTTTCTTGCCTTTAAAGGATATTTCGTCATCTTCGTGAAATGCTGCTGAGTCAAAGGAAATCTATGATAAAAATTCTAATATAAGGAAATAAAAACTGTGCGATAAGAAAAATAACATATCGCTAATTACTTGTGATATTCGTCGTTCATATCTTTTCGTTATTTCATTAATATATAATAATAACAGCTGAATACATTAAACAATCATCATGACTAAACGTATAACCGCTGAAGAGGTTGCTAAACACAATACCGAAAGCTCCATCTGGATCATTGTTCATGACAAAGTATTTGACGTAACAAACTTTTTAAATGAACATCCTGGTGGAAAAAAAGTTTTACTTAAGGTTGCCGGTACAGATGCTACCAAACAATTTGATAATTTTCATGCAGTATCTATTTTAGATAAATATACCAAGTTACAACTCGGCGTAGTTGGTGATAACCAAGAAGAAGTTTCAAGCGAATCTGCTTCGGTTGATGGCCCATTTGGTGACCTCGTACCTTTCGGAGATCCCTATTGGTATCAAGACTTTTACAGTCCGTATTATAATGATTCTCATCGTCGTGTAAGAGCTGCTGTTCGTAAATTTGTTGAAACAGAAATTATGCCTTATACTTTTGAATGGGATGAAGCTAAAAAAATTCCTCAGGAACTTTTTATAAAAGCTGGTAAAGCTGGTATCTTACCAGCTGTCTGCGGTGCACCTTGGCCTGGAAAGTGGGTATCGATCAACATGAGCACAAAAAAATTGATTGAATTAGATGATTAAATTTTTTTTATTATTATTCCAATCATTTAGATATACCGATATTCAACCTATTGGTGAAGTAAAGGTTGAAGAATTTGATCATTTTCATGAATTTATTGTGACTGACGAATTGGCTCGTTGCGGATCCGGTGGTGTCTTATGGGGATTGACCGGTGGTAAGTAACATTATTTATTATAAATGGTAAAATTATTGTAAATCATGATTCCTTAAAATTATCGTCAATATTATTATTTTAATTTTAAAAGGTTTGGGTATCGGTCTTCCGCCAATCCTCAAATTTGCTTCCGAGGAACTTAAGAGAAAAGTTGCTCCAGAATGTCTTGCAGGAGTAAAGAATATTTGCCTTGCTATCACAGAACCATATGCTGGATCTGATGTTGCAAATATTAAGACAGAAGCCAAGCTTACTGCTGATGGTAAACATTATATCGTTAATGGTGAAAAGAAATGGATCACAAATGGTGTTTTTGCCCATTATTTCACCGTTGCGGTTCGTACTGGGGGCTCTGGTATGGGTGGTATTTCTCTTCTATTGATCGATAGGGACATGCCCGGTGTTAAGACTCGTCAAATGTTATGTACTGGTGTATGGGCATCAGGAACTTCTTACATTACTTTTGAGGATGTGAAAGTACCAGCATCCAATATTATCGGTAAAGTAAATGGAGGATTCAAGGTAAATTACAAAAATGATTTGATTTGATTTTATTTATTTTATTTTATTTTTAATCATACTTTCTTTTTTTTTCCGGTTAGTGTATTATGCATAATTTCAATCATGAACGTATGGGAATTGCGATTCAAGCAACACGTTTTGCCCGTGTTTGTTATGAAGAATCCATGAAATATGCTCACAAACGTAGGACATTCGGTAAAAAACTTGTTGAACACGATGTCATTCGTAATAAACTTGCCCATATGGCACGTCAAATTGAAGCAACACACTCGTGGATGGAAGCATTAATTTATCAAACAAATAACATGTTTGGAATTGAAGCTATGAATAAGCTTGGCGGTCCAATTGCTTTATTAAAAGCACAGTCAACGCAAACTTTCGAATATTGTGCTCGTGAAGCGGCGCAAATCTTTGGTGGTTTATCTTACTCACGTGGAGGGTGAGTCATCAATCTTAATATTAGAATGTTTTAACTTAAAACTTTTCTAATTAAATCTTATCAAATTTCTTTCAATATTATAGTCAAGGTGAAAAGGTTGAACGTTTATACCGTGAAGTACGTGCTTATGCAATTCCCGGTGGTTCAGAAGAAATTATGCTCGATCTTGGTGTCAGACAATCTCTTAAAGTTGCACAATTTTATGGTGCTAAACTTTAGTGTGTCGAATTAATGACGAATGACGAATATCATTATTGGGTAATTAGGATAATTAATTAAGTTCAAAATATATTTATTTCCTTTTTTTATGAAATTGTATTTTTTTTTTTTTCTTTTTTTTTTTTTTTTTTTGAAATACAATTTTAAATTCGTTATTTCTGATTGATGTTCAAAATTGGTTTAAAAAATTTATTTTTGCCGATTTATGTAATAAAATAATAAAGATTTAGAGTTTAATTATAATACCATCAGAAATATCTTGATCAAAGATTGACACATTCACGCATTCTTAATCTTTCGCTTGCAAAGAAAGCACGTAGAATGTAAATCCGTTTTTGTCATGGAATCAATTATGTTTTATCACGAGTGATATTATTTTAAAAAGTGGTAGTAGGGTCGGTGAAGTGGTGACCTCCCTCTTCAATTAATTCATAATAAATTAAACATGGACTGGAACCACCGGCAGTTTCTTCGACTCGTCTATTAGAGGATTTTAAGGGTCGAAGAAAAAATGCGAGATTTTTGATGTTCGTTGTTTTTTCTTTTTTTTAATTATTTCGTGATTTTTCTTGTAGTTCTTCCCATTGTTCCCAATATATCCTTTGTCACGTGTTATATGAGAAACATAATCGCCGAATCATAAATTTTCCGTTCAAATATTTCAAACTACGGAATTAACAAAATTTCCCGTTTCTTATTTTTTTATATATTTCAATCTTTTTTATTTTAACTCATTTTAACTTTATTAGATGTAATGTTTCAGTAATGATTGAAAATAAATCATTTTATTTGATTTCTTTTTTTTTTTTTCAACGCGTATATGTACAGTATAAATACTGTAGTACAATACATCAAGGTCTCCAAAAACGGGTTCTATAAATAGAAATGTTCAAATAACTTCTACGCGACTGATAAAAAAAAAAATCTTTTTTCAAGATAAACGCGTTCGTTGTAACATGCCAAACCTATGCTTTTTATTCAAAGGTAAAAAATGTCTACACATAAACATACTGGAACTCCCGTGAATGCTGGAACATATGAGGTACAACCAGCTTTATTAACATTTGCTTTAAAAAGGTCAAAACTTTAACAGTAAAAGTTTTTACAATACAGCCACGAAATTTCCCGAGACCTTCTGCACCTTACAACACGCATACGCCGTCTACACCAACACAACCACGTAAAAGTTTCCCTACAAGAACTTCTATGTCTCCCAATACACCACGTTTTCAACCTATAAATGTCCCTCAAGTAAAACCTCAACCAAACTATTTACAT